GATGCTGTTCTTGTGATAGTGAGTTCTCACAAGATCTGATGGTTTAAAAGTGTTTGGCAGTTCTGCCCCTGCTCTCTCTCTCCTGCTGCCATGTAAGATGTACCTTGCTTTCCCTTCGCCTTTTGCCATGATTTTAAGTTTCCTGAGGCCTCCCCAGCCATGGGAACTGTGAGTCAATTAAACCTCTTTATAAATTACCCAGTCTCAGGTAGTTCTTTAGAGCAGTGTGAAAACGGACTAATGCATGGGATCATTGACAGTGTCTTCTATGGCCCTACCCTTTATACCACTGAGATCTACTTATTCCCTATGTTAGGTTCCCTGAATTCTATCATTGATTCTTCAGGTTCATTGCTGGTTACAATTTATTTATGTATTCAAGCTTGATGACAATGGACTTAGTAGGACAGGATACAGTACCCCCTGCTGCAGATATTTCTGAATCTGCAAGTGATATTTATTATTAGATTCTTTACCACCTATTCCATCTTCCCCTCATCATTGGCCATCATCTCTGCTGATTTATGTTATTTGCCCAGTGGGGTCACTGAGACCTTCATCCTTGAGGTGCTGAACTCCTGGTTACCATTCCCTTATCAGACTTGGTTACTGAAGTCTTCTGAATGTGATAGTTGTCAGTCATGAAAGCATTGAGAGATGCCCTGGTGAATCTCTAGAGTTACAGATACACCTCCCTACTCCCTTTATGCAGTAGCAAGCCCAGCTCTTCATGATAAATAGGGTTAATCACCCTGACCAGCATAGTAATTCCTTTCTTTGCCTGATAGACTGCTGGCATGGGGAGCCAAAAATGACCAGATGGTAGCTATAACTTTAGGTTTAGTGGGATCCTAAATGGTCCCCTTGTAGAGGTGTGTATACCCCATCCCACCCCACCATGGAAACCAGAACCTCTGCTCCTCCAGAGCTTATAGTTATTGGGATAGGAGGCACAAATTTGTCAAGTGGATTATCAGAATCTTTGGTGGGAGGGGCTGCTCCTACTTTCACCCCTTGTCTCTCAGACCTATGTAGTTTGTCTGTTGAGGCCACAGTACCATACAATGGCTGTTGGCTAAAAGTAAGTATCAAGTCTTGAGGGACAGTGTTCTAGCACCACTGAATGTCATTCCCAAGCTATGAATTTTGGAGTCCATTCCAATTTTCTGCTAGTCTTGCAGCTTCTGCATGATATATAAATGGTAGGAACAATGTACCCCGTGGTCACGTGGCCTAAGCAATAAGGCTACTCATATCCTAGTCTGAACCAACTGCAGAGCCTTCTCTTGGCCTGAGCCTTACCTCACATCAAGTTGGCAATTAGGACAGTATGACTGATACAGCTAAGATTTTGTGTAAACATTCTATTGCAGCATGAGTACATACCAAAAACTTGAAGAAAGTTTGGGAACTAATTGATGAATTTTCATAAACATACCTGAATGTAGCTAAGATTTTTCACAATGATTTCACAAAAATAGTTTGATAGTTTCATAAACCAGTAATGCTTGGACCCCATTACTACTTGGAATTTAAAAATTCTTTAGGCCAGTTTGTGCCCCAGAAATACAGCACTTATTGGAGTATCAGCTGAGTACAACCCCGTCATAAATTCATCCTGTCTCCTAATACAAGATTTATGAGTTCTATGGGATTTATAACATTTTCCCCTTTGTATTATGGTGGAATTCAACATGTACATATTTGATACATACATACGTGTGTGTGTGTGTATGTGTGTGTGTGTGTGTATATATATATATAAAATTTCCCTTTCTGTCATTTTTTGTAAGGCTAATCTCACTTTCACAGCTCCACCAGCTCAAAGGCTGAGGGAACATATGCTTCTCCATATGCCCAACACAGATTCCTCAATGCATTTATTACTCAGAGCTTGGTGATTGAAGAATGTTTGTACTATTTTATTTTTCCTCATAGTGAGTCATTCTACTGTACATTTAAAAATCTGTGATAAGTTGAAAGATCCAAGAATTGAGGTACATGTCAACAAACAGCTTTCCATCTGGTAAATGAGAGATTTTATTTATAACCAGGTATTCAGATACAGTGGTATAAAGTGACATTCAAATGATTTTATTCCATGACTGAAGGGCTAAGGAAAACACTAACCATGTCCAATCCATTCACCACACTGCAACCAGATCAGGAAACTCCTCTGCCTTAAACTTTCCAATGGGCCTAAAATCCACACCTTGGGATATTAAGGCCCTCCACAATCTAGCTCTCGGCTCCTCCTTCAGACTAGCTCTCAAAGATTCCCTTTCCTTTCTACACTCCAGCCAAATGGGATCTTTCAGTTCATTAAATGCCTTAAGTTAGCACTCAACTCAAGCATAATATACAGGTAGGAAATGTTCAAAACCCAAATCAATGTTAATATACAACTTACTACCAAGTAGCATTTTTCATCCATTGAACCCCAAAGGAGCATCTAGAAGTCAGTGTTTAGGGTTTAGGATGGAACTAGGGACAGTCATTGTGAGGATCTGTTTTAGATTTTTAGTCCAAAGGCTCAGCTAGTGAATTCTTCCTTTGGCACCACATTTGGAACTACTGCAGAAGTCAGACCCAGACTAATCTGCAAAATAATTCAGAACTCCTGGGATGTTCAGAACTGATAGACTTGATTCCTCTGGCCCTTGAGTTTAGTAACACCCTTCTTCTCTCTTTACCCAAGGAGGGAGGTTTCCTAGCTAACAGTGCCCCACCAATTGCCTAAGGAGTTATTCCAATTTGAGACATGTTATCAGAGTTTTACATGGGAAACCTGAGTTGGCCCAAAGTTTAAGCACAAGCTGATGGATTTTGTGTATCATAAGGTTATGAGATGTTCCAAACACCATTCCAAGCCAAGGGGGAGGTGATCCGGGACTTTTTTATTTTGTGTCTTTGAATCTTCTCACTTTTGTTTCAGCCAGCCTTTTGGCAATGCGTCCTCATCATTTTTTTTTCTGTAAGTTTGCCTACTCATTTATGAGCAGAAAAATCAATCACTTAACATTTAGAAAGCCTTTAAATGTGCTTAGTTCACTAGTAGAAACTTTTGGTTATAAAGCAAGTGTCTTCACAAAGTTTGAATCTGGGTGAATTGAACAGATAAAACTTTAGTTGATGAAATAATAAAGTGCTAAAATGTGTAAGCTTGCCACTGTGAAGATAAATTTCTAGTGAAGACTTCACTGGGATAGTGAATTTTTTGTGGCAAATTAAAGGAAGAGTAGGATTAAGATAAAGATAAAAGGTTATAGGGAATTATTGCACGGATGGTATCTTAGCTCTGGCTGCTATAACAAATATACCATAGACTGGGTGGCTTAACACACATTTATTTCTCATGGTTCTGGAGGGTGAAAGTCTAAGATGAGATACAGCACAGTTGCATACTAGTGAAGGCCTTCTTCCAGGTTTCCCAGAGTGAACTTCTTGTATCCTTATGCAGAAAGAGGTCAGGCTAATTCTCTAGCCTCTTTTAGAAGGACTGTAATCCCATTCATGGGGTCTCCACTTTCATGAACCCAGTTATCTCCCAAAGCCCCCAACACCAGATACATTGGGATTAGAGTTTCAACACATGAATTTTGAGGAGGGGGAGCACAAACATTTAGCCCATTGTGGGTACAGCCAAGGTGGACCTGCGCAAAGGCAGAGGCAGAAAAGAGGATGCTAACTGGTCCTAACCCTACTGCCTGTGCTTCAGAAAGCACTGCCTACATGCATCAAGCCTTACCATGCATGCAACAGAATCTCCTGGAGAAAGATTGTCGAAACACAGATTTCTGCCCTGTCCCCTGCTCCCCGCCTCCACTCCCCACCCCAGAATTTCTGATGAGATGAGGCTGGAGAATTAGGATTTTAAACAAGTTCTCAGGTGATGTTGATGCTGCTTGTTTGGGGCCCAAGCTTTGAAAACCACTGGTCTAGACTGTGTTGATAACTGGATGGCTTAAAACACAGTAAATTGCATCTGCTAATGATAGTGCTGCCAATTGCCTCTCTCAGTGATACCCTTTGCTCTGAATTACTTTCCACCCTGAAGCATATGATGCTCCCATTCTCACCTCTAGATTGCTCAGTCCACCTTCCCTTCCCCATGCCGCCTATTCCCATGTCCTTAAGGTTGTCACCAGATTGAGTTTAACTATTTCCTGCCTTTTTTGTTGTTGTTCTCCTTGTAAGTTGATTTCCCATTTTTTGACTGTTAGCCAATCTAAATTTTAGATTTCTAAATTTTAGAAGGGAAAAGCAAATAATGTTATCAGTTCCTTTGCTCTCCTGCTGATTCACTGGTAAATGAAAGTGGTGATGTGAGAGACCTGATTTCTATTTTCTGTTCAACACTGATGATAATTTTTCAAGCAGAAGCATATCTGCCTTGGAATTCTTTCCCTTTGATGAAATGATTACGCAAGTAGGTAACAGTGTAACAGCAGTAGTTCTGATAATTGAATGTTGATGTAAGGCTTTACATATTAAATAATTAGATTACAGTTGATCCTTGACAGAAGCTTTGAATTTTTTTCATCTGCAATCACAGTATAGAGCACAGTATATAGCAAATTACAAACTAGCGAAACCCATCAGAACTTCTCTCAATTAATAATGAAAGGAGTTAATAGCACATAGTAGGCATTCATATATTAGGTGAATAAGCAAATGAATGCGTTCCAAAAAATGCATAAATAGTTTTTCTTCCCTCCACGAAACAAAAACAGACATAGTTCCATGAAATATAGGCATGGGTATTTTGTATCAGTTTTAAATTTGGCAGGGTACCAAATGTTAATTTGCTTTTAGCTAGTTGAGATTAAATGTAATTCCTTCCCCAGGCAACCCTAAAGTAAGTAAGCATGAAAGCATTTTCAGAGTAATCTGGGAGGAATTGACATTTAAAGGAGCTAGCATTACATCTGTACTTTAAGGCTATTAATTTCATAGATAAATTAACTTCATTACTCTATCTTTATCTTGCATTTTGAAAGGACTCCATCAACTGGAGGACTGAAAGCTGAGGGCCAATTGAAACTGCTCTTATCCCAGCCAGGTTGTAACTGGAACTTGCTTCTGGAAACCCTTCTGCATCATGATGGACTTTTACTGAGAATCTTGCTGAAGAGCTCAAGTGAGTATGGGTAGTTATAAGAATGTCCTCGAAAAACCTAGTCATTACTCGAGTTGAATAACAGTTTTTTTCCTAGGCAAACATTAGAAGAAGGATGTAAACCAGTGGCATGTATCAACATTCAGTTGGGTTAGCAGCAAACAAAAGCATTAAATCGCTTTACCAACCTATTTGAAAGAATTTATTTCAAGGACTCTGAATGAGAGAAAACTATATTTTTATATGACACTGTTCTATCACAATTACCATTATATAGAAATGTATCAATATACAGGGTTTGAAATGCCTAAAAAAATTGTAGGAATGCAGTTATGTTTCCAAAGCACAATCTGAATTAGACCTAGAGAGAGAGAGAGAGAGATAAAGAGTATTAGATTAACACTGGGAATTTCAGTGTATCATGAAGAGTGCTTGTGCAACTTAAGAACAAGCAAGCTGTGGCCTACAGCTATATCCGTTGGAGCATAGAGTAGTAATCACCAGAAAATTCTGAATGGAAATTGAGGAGTAATATAAGACCGTGCTTCTCTTAATTAGTTTCTTTTTTTCCCATGTAAATGCTTTTTAAGAAAATGGTAAGTAATGTTATGTCAGTATAATATTACATCTCATTGTAGTCCCACTTCATCTAGGAAGAGCTTTTCACCATTTTCTCATACTCCTGTGCATCTCTCCTATTCCGTACCACAAGTGAAGCCTGATTACTTTATCAATTACTAGTTTCATTGTAGGTTTCCCAAATCAAAATCTTTCTTCTCTAATTCCCTATCACCTGCAGGACCCAAGTCTCTTCACCATTCAAATATGATCCAGAATAGTTTTCTAACCTTTTCCCCACTATTTCCTTGCACACACCACCCACTTACTCCTGTAACAGTTGTTGTCCCCAAAGCCCCAAGCATGCGTTCACTACACACCTTGGCTCACCTGTCTTTCCTACTTAAAGACCTGCCATAAACTACTTAGCTTCCACCAGTCTGCAAAGGCCAGCTGATGTTTCAGAGCTTTGAATGCTCCATCTTACACTGATCTCTTCCTCCCCTGAACTTCATACTGAACTTTCATCTTGGCTACTTTATTTGCCCTTAGCATGCACTGCCTTGTATTTTTCTTGTGTTTATATATGAATGAGGCTAATGTCATTAGGCCCTACCAGCCTGTTAGTATACAAATGAGGTTCATAGCCTTTCCTTGTGTAAATAGCTCCAGTCATTTCTGGTAATTTTTGTTATCTCGCATCTGCTCAGAACCTGTGCCCCGTATTCTCTCCCATCCACCTTGATGTTTGGTTCCCAAAAGGCACTTAGGAGCAGTGTCTCTTGTAAGAATATTGCTTCTCTCCTGGTGCTCTCCAAACTCTAAAGCCATGTGGTGCCAAAGGTCATCACAACTCCTCAGGCCTCACTGTATTCCAAGCAGAAAGGCAAAGCTTGCTCCCTCCCAAGCCCAGAATCTGATTTTGTTTCCTTAGCTCCCAAGCCGTACTGTTTGGAACTCAAATCTCACAAAGTTTATCCGAAAACAATTTATTTAGCTTCAGGCTTAACCACTCTCCTAAAGAGAAAACTCACACTAGGGAATCTACTTCCTCAAGTAACCAACATTTGCTGTTCAGTTATTAGTTATCAGGCACTATGCTAAGCATTTTATATGTGTTATCTAATTTGATTCTCTCTATAATCTTATAAAAGATATACTATTGTTACTCTCATGTTAAACATAAGGACATTGGCATTGAAGATAATTATTACTTACCCACTGATACACATATCTGATAAATACTGAGTAGATCTAGATTTTGTACCCAGCCAGAGCTTTCGGTCCCCTGCTCTTCCAATACAAATACTCATGCAAATTAAACCCTGAAGCCAAATAGTGTAGTATTGGGAAGAATTGTTCTGTCCACTCTCAGGTTGGATCAACCAGGACATCTTGGTACACATGCATTTAACTTGCCTTTCCAGCTAGGTAGGCAAGGCTGTACTGTAGATTTTTATATTCCTCCTTAAGCTGGCACAGTGCTTTTTACATAAACAGTCCAGTAAACAGTGTTTGGCCAATCAGTGATCAATTAGAACAGAAAACATGGCACTTCCCTTAAACTTTATAGTCTAAGTGCTTGTCAGACAAAGCAGCTACGTGCAAAGGATAATATCTAACAAAGCTGAGAGTTACTCTCATGTAATCTTTGAAATTCACAGGCATGGTCCTGTAAGAGAAATGGTCTCCTACTGATAGAGTTATAGAGAATAGATTGTAAAATCAATTGAGATAAACCTTTTGACTATGTTGAGATAGCCACTAACTACAGGAAGTACAATTATAGTTATGAATATTTAACCATGTTCTCTTACAAGTGAATCCTACAATTACTTATCAAAAATAATTATGTCCATCTTCTGATATGTATAACACGATGTTGCTTTAAAGAAGCTTGGAGTTATCAAAGGTATCACATTGTACTACTTTTAGTTCTGGTTCTTATGGAGTACAGCAGTGTATTTACCCAACCTGCTCAAAAACCCATCATTTTAAACAAAGACTATTAGACTACATGGCTGCTGTCGTATTGTCTTGTACTGAATTTTACTAGCTACTTCAAATACCATAAGGATAAAGTGACTAAATTTACTAATCAATTGATTGACCTAGTTCTTAATCTCCAATAGAACTCTTGTCACTTTAAATTAGAAACCATATATTCATGGAATCTTGTTAATTATACTAATATAGAAATTATTATGCACACAAAAATTAATTTGTAATATTTTAAAAGATATTTTATTATTTGATTAAAAGTCTCATGATATTTCAGAGTGCCATTTTGTAATTTAGAAGCTTGATTATTTTAGGAAATATTAGCAAAGCAAAATCTTAGAGTAAAATACTCCAAATTATATATTTCAAGCAACATAATTGTCAGCTTTTTATGGGGGAGTTTTTAAAATAAATAGTGTGTTTTTCACTTCTTAAGCTAATAAGCAACTTCGGCAAAGTCTTAGGATACAAAATCAGTGTGCAAAAATTGCTAGTATTTCTATACACCAACAGTCAAGCCAAGAGCCAAATCAAGAATGCTTCCATTCACAACTGCCACAAAATGAATAAAATATCTAGGAATACAGCTAATAATGGAAGTGAAGGACCTTTACAAGAAGAACTACAAACCACTGCTCAATGAAATCAGATGTGACACAGACAAATGGAAAAACATTTCGTGCTCATAGAAAGGAAGAATCAATATCATGAAAATGGACACACTGCCCAAATAAATTTATAGAGACAATGCTATTCCCATTAAGGTACCACTGACATTCTTCACAGAGCTAGAAAAAAACTATTTTAATTCATATGGAACCAAAAAAAGAGCCTGGGTAGCCAAGGCAATCCTAAGCAAAAAGAACAAAGCTGGAGGCATCATGCTACCAGACTTCAAACTATACTACAGGGCTATAGTAACTAAAACAGCATGGTACTGGTATAAGAACAGACATGCAAACCAATGGAACAGAACAGAGAACCCAGAAATAAGACTGCACACCTACAACTATCTGAACTTTGACAAACCTGATACAAGCAATGGAGAAAGGATTCTCTATTTAACAAATGGTTCTGGGAGAACTGGCTAGCCATATGCAGAAAATTGAAACTAGACCCCTTCCTTACACTATATACAGAAATCAACTTAAAATAGATTAAAGACTTAAATGTAAAACCCAAAACCATAAAAACCCTAGAAGAAAACCTAGGCAATACCATTCAGGACATAGGTATGGGCAGAGAGGTCATGATGAAGATGCCAAAGGCAATTGCAACAAGAGCAAAAATTGACACATGGAATGTAATTAAACTAAAAAGCTTCTGCACAGCAAAAGAAGCTATCAACAGACTAAACAGACAACCTACAGAATGGGAAAAAATTTTGCAAACTATACATTGGACAAAGGACTAATATCCAGCATCTATAATGAACTTAAACAAATTTACAATGAAAAAACAACTAACCAGATTAACAAGTGGGCAAAGGACATGAACAGACGCTTCTCAAAAGAAGATATACATGCAGCCAACAGTTATATGAAAAAAATGCTCAGCATCATTGATCATTAGAGAAATGCAAATCAAAACCACAATGAGATACTATCTCACACCAGTCAGAATGGCTATCGTTAAAAAGTCAGAAAATAACAGATGCTAGAAAGGTTGTGGAGAAAAAGGAGCAATTTTACACTGTTGGTGGAAGCATAAATTAGTTCAACCATTGTTAGGTACAGAGTTTTTCTTGATAAACAACTGCTATGGTTTGAATGTCTCCTTCAAAACTCATGTTGAAATTTAATTGCCATTGTAACAGTGTTGAGAGGTGGAACCATTAAGAGTTGATAGGACACGAGGACTCTGCCTTCATGAATGAATTAATACCATTATCATGGGAATGGTTTAGTCATTGCTCAAGGGGATTCCTAATAAAAAGAATGAGTTCAGCCCACTTCCCTGTATCTTGTACACTGGCTTCTGCCTTCCACCCTTTCACCATGAGATGACCCTCATTAGATGCTGGAGCCATGCTCTTGGACTTCCCAGCCTCCAAAACTGTGAGCCAAATAAACTTGTGTTCTTGTTAAATTACCCAGTCTGTGGTATTGTGTTATAGCAGCAGAAAATGCACTGAGACAATAACCACATACTATAAAGATTAAAGCATATGGGATTCATCTCATTGTGAAAGTGATGTCTGTAGCTTTTTGTTTTGCTCTGTGGAAATTATTTCTCAGAATTTATATGTGTTTCAAAAGAATTGACAGAGCCTATAGGAAATGGCTCTCTTGTAATCTGAGCATCAGAAAATAACAAAATTAAATAAGTGAATGGTAAGGATTTATAATGTATGCCTCATAGCCTGCAAACTTTTAGGAAATGGAATTATGTCTTTGCCATGTAAAATAATCCTCTCTGTGTAAAATATGTAGCATTTTGAAGGAATGATTACATTGCTAAAG